CAACGTCAGAATACTAGAAGCATCTTCAATATTATGCTTATCTAATGAGCATAGTGAAAGACCATAAAGAGGCATCTTTTACTTTTAGACTTAAATAAATATATCTGCCATAATTCATAACGTCATTTTCATTGCCCATCCTGTAATACTATTTGTATATAGCTTGTGCAAGAGACATGAAAGAATAACAGAGACCTAAGCGATTCTTTTCGCAAAACAGCACAATCGCCTCTCTGCAACTCCTTTTTCCTTCGAGTTTCTTAACCTCCAAGATCAAATTGGTTGCTGAATCATTGAAGTTTTTTCATGTATACATACGATTTCTAAATAAAAATGAAAACAATAATCAAGATAGCATTAACCGTGGATTATGTCGTTATTACCCTTGATCTGCATGAGCATGGAGACGCAACAACAATGAATTGCATAGTCCACATAAAAAGCATGCCCTTCGAGTTTCTTAACCTCCAAGATCAAATTGGTTGCTGAATCATTGAAGTTTTTTCATGTATACATACGATTTCTAAATAAAAATGAAAACAATAATCAAGATAGCATTAACCGTGGATTATGTCGTTATTACCCTTGATCTGCATGAGCATGGAGACGCAACAACAATGAATTGCATAGTCCACATAAAAAGCATGCTTTTTGTATGTAAAAAAAAAAAAAATTCCGACAAGACAAAATAAGTAAAAAAGGAAATGCTGCACCATGGGGAAGTCCATTACCATAAAATATAAAGTGTAACTTAAAACATGGTCAGCCGTGAGGGGGATGGCGTTCAAGCCAATCCTGGATGGCCGAGCGGAGGGTGAGGTTTGGGACAAGAGTTCGACGAGAAAGACTCAGGTTTGTCATTGGAGATCTGTCTCGGCCTCCCTCTAACCATCTCCTGATTGCTTCTGCTTCGTACGTAAATCCATCCGCTGCCACTTGAGGATCTTTCATTACATCCTACGACACAACACAACATTGCACATTTAAAAATTGCACCTCACACAGCCAAGATATGAGATTTTTTTTTGTCACGTGCATGGACTTGCCTGTGTGATAGGGCAGATGAAAGAAGATGGAGTTTCAGTTTCTTGCCCTTCTGCTAGCTTTTTCTCAAGTTCTTCGACTGTCTTCAGTGCATTGTCTCGCTCTACCTCCATCTTATCGCGCCCTTCTTTGCTAGTTTCGAGTATCCGTTTCATATTCTCCACCTCTTCCTTGTCTCGAGCAAGTGCAACTTCTATTTGTTTCCTTAACCTACACTCGTCGTTGTACTTGACCTGCAACACTCCCGCCTGTAGATTCATGTTATGTTGTTCTTCTTTGCACGTTTCGAGCAGCTGCCTCATCTTATCCAGCTCATCCCTTTCTCCAGCTAGTGCATCTTCTGTTTCTTTCCTAAGCCTTAGCTCGTCGTTGTACTTCCCCTCCAACAATCCTGTCTCTACTTGCATGTTATCCCGTTCTTTCTTGTACGATTGAAACAGTTCTTTCATCATCTCTAGCTCTTCCCGTTCTTTGGCAAGGGCATCTTCAGCTTCTTCCCTAACCCTTAGCTCGTTGCTATACTTTCTCTCCAGCACTTGAGCCTGCAGTAACAAGTCATTTCGTTCTTTTATGGAAGATTGAAGCAGTTGTTTCGTATTTTCCAGCTCCTCCTTTCCTCTCCTAAGCAAATCTTCAGTTTCTTTCCTATGCCTCAACTCGTCTCTGTACTTGCCCTCCAACACTGCAGCCTGTATCAAAGTGTAGTCCAACCATTACACTCAAGACGGACATGTGTCAGCGTTACATACACTCGAGACGACTAAAACAGACCCTCCTTGAACCAATATCACTTTTTAGAGCCAAAACATGCACTGCTTGGGGAGGGGAGTATGTTAGCCCTCTAATCAGTCTCACCTACTATTTTTATAGGAAGGAGAGGGCTCTAAAGCTACCTTGTTAATGGCTGCAATGGCATCCTTTTCAGCTTCAACTCGCCTCATGTGTTCTTTACATGTTTCCTGTTTTGATAATCTAAGATTCTCCAAGGCCGTATCAAGCTTTCCATAGACCTCATCACCAATGCTTTTCTGTCAGATATTTGAAGATATTAAGCTTTTTGCGGAAGATATTACATAATTTCTATCAGACACCATCACATTACAAGCTTATGAACTCTGTAGAATCTCGCTTATAAAAGAGTAATTGACCACATATTGGGTTGCAGGGAAATTTCTTGACGACGAGGGCATCAGTTCTCCAGCATGGTACGCGTTGGAAATGGCATCAATACACGTTGTAGCTTCTCCATGGAACAGCTCCCAATTCATATCTGCATCTAGTGGAATCCTTGCACCTGATGCTTTTGCTTTTACCTGCTAACCGTAGTAGAACATGAACTATGAGGAGGAATCCAAACAAGAGTTGCAAACAAATAAAATGTTGAAATTAATACCAGGTTGTTGGACCGCAGATACTTGAGCTTAAAAATCATGTCCCTTGAACGAGAAGATAGCGATGGATTCTGTATGAGATTCTCTAGCCCTACGGAGTGTGCATCAAATAACCGGCAGAATGTAGAGCTAGTGTCAACTTCTTTCCCGATAGAGCTCAGAAATCGATATATTGCTTCAATGTTCCTCTCAATTGGGCAGGTGGGTTCCATAAGCACCTGTGTGAGACACCAAGAAATCTCTAAAACGACATCTGGATGAAAGGAAAAAAGAACAATTAATGCAAGCGAAAGTGAATCACCGACCTGAACAATCCTTTGGCAAGTTCTTTCAGCTACCACCTTACACTTGAAAAGTTCAGCCACAAGCCCCACAATCCTCACGAGCTTCACCCGAAGTCTATCCTCGCCATGAGCCATCCGAAAACCGTCATCCTCCATAGTCGCAATTTGAAACTCCATTTTGCATTTGTCCAAGAGAAGCCTCTTAAAATTGGTTTCTTCCCCAAAACGCTCATCAGATGGAACTGGAGGGAGCTCGCAGCTAAGCATAACGCATAAACGCCCATACAAATTGCGAGGATCCTCAACCGCTACAGCCATATCGAAAACGCTGGATACCAGAGACTGCAATGCACAAGGAACCATTGGAGTTCTCGGAAAACTTTGAGATATGATAAACGTTATGTCCATAAGCAACAACGACGAAACCTTCAAAACTAGGGCAGACGGGGTTCCTCTTATCGTGCTGACTAGCTGATCCTTAACTTTCTCGAAGTTCTGATGAGTCAACCAGTTCAGCAAACTACAAAAATCGGACAGAAAATCATTTCACAGAGCACTTTGGCTGAAAAGCCGAAGCCTTAGGTTACAAACGTCATCGAAACCTCGTCAAATTGAAAGCATTACCTCTTTACCATTTCCAAAACTCGATTATCCACTGTCAGATTCCGACCGTGATACGACGGCTCAGCTTTCTCCTCCTGATTAAGTCAAACCAAATAAACACCAGGATGCGAATCAAAAACTAAAGGGAGAGTGACGCACAGCAAACTCAATTACCCAGGCGAAATCCATGGAAACACTTGTTCTTCTCCTCTGCCGAAGGCTCTTTGTCCAACCCGTATCTTCTTCGACTTTTCTCTTCCCTTTGTTTCGATCAACTTCGAACTTCTCTCATATTTCGCCATTATAGCGGGTTTAAGCTTTTTGCGCTGCTCGTTCGTGCATGCCCTTGAGAATCGTAATGGTCGCGCGACATTTAAACTTGTGCAAGTCTGGCGGTTCGCACATCTTACCGGTTAATTAGTTAATAAATTTACATGGGCTTAGACCTGAGAAGAAACACATTGGACCCAGCGGAGTAAATACTAGGCCCATTTGAATTTATAGGCCTCGGAGTGATAATTCTACGGAAACCCTAGCGATAAATAGTGGAACCTCTCCATCAACTTCAGTCGCCGTCTGAGTTGTGGCGTCTCTTTCTTTCTAGAGAAATCGGCGTGTAGAGAGGTAGAAGCTGCGTTTGCCTCCATGAGAGCCAAGGTACCTGTTTCTTTCTCCTCATTGGATCCGAATTGGTTTCTGCGTTTTGATATGTCCTTGTTCTTCGGTATCTGAATCTGGCTCTCGGTTTTCTACCCTGTGGATGTTTTTCTGAGCAACTATTTGAGCGTTCCTTTTCCACGAGTGGACTCTGGGATATAGAGAGGACTTAGCAATGGAGTCTACTTTCGATGAAAATTTCCCCGTTTTTCTGCTTGGTTCCTGGGAGAATAGCTAGGAAAGGTTCAGGGACATTGATTGAGGTTACTCATAAATGATTGACGGGGAAAATCTGAATAGATATTTGTTTATGTTTGGCACGTCTCCAATTTTCCATTTGTCAGTTCCGATTGACAGTTTATGAATCCCTGCATTCACCGGGAGCAGAGTTGAGATCGTTACGGTTGCCGTTTGTGATAGTGGTCTCTGCGGGGGACTCGTCGCAGTGGGCGATTTTGTTGTAACAATAGCACATGTAACTTCGTCTCTTGATCAGAGACAGCATGATGAGCCCTTTGATTCCACTATAGTCGAATTTTCGAAGAAAGTTTTCCTGGTCTTTGACCATGAATGCCGCCGCATAATCTCATATTTTGCAATTCATAGCGTTTCTGCATCTGACTGGCAAGGCTTTTGGATTGCGTTTGAACATTCTTGCAGTGGAAGAAGAAGCGCATGAGGAGGCTGAAGAGGAAGCGCAGAAAGATGAGACAGAGATCCAAGTAGCTGAACCTGAACGCCTCTAGTCGTGATGTTCCTTGTGGTTTCTTTCTCTGTCTAATTTCCTAGTTGATGAGTGTTTTTGAGACCCCTGTTGTATGTTTTACATATGGATTTTGAATATAAATTTTTGCCATATATATCCTCTACTCCACGTGTGTTTTGGTCCTAACTGCCCTTTTCAGACTTTTGTTTATTTAAATCGAGGATTATATTAGTTTTTTTGTAATTGGGAATTACGCTACATTCAACTTCAAGTTTTCGTTCCCAATACTTTGAGATTCTCCGAATTCGTTCCTAACTAATATGCATAATAAAATACAAAAGATAAGAAAGGTAAAGGAACGCCAGAACTAGGAGATTAAAAAGCTCGCAACCTCACAAGGATAATAACTGTCTTTGAGAGAGCTGTCGTTCACGCAAAAGCGATGGCGGCGAGAGCAGTTCGTAGCAGCGTAGTCACCGCTTTAAGCTTCGTGCCGGCGAAGTCATCTCTCTTCTCCGGTAAATCCAAGTTTGTCGGTGTTTGGACCATCGAGAAGCGATGTTTTTCCTCCAAAATAAGCATGAGCTTGAGAGCCGGCATCGTCGGTCTCCCCAACGTTGGCAAGTCCACTCTCTTTAACGCCGTCGTAAGTTTATCCTCTTTCATGGGTCTTTTTTTCCACTCCTTTTTTGTTTTATGAATTCGGCTATGGTTGATGTCCGTAAATTTTGTGTCTTTTTGTGGGTTTCTGCTCGGCATTTCGTCAAACACCTTCCGTGAACCTTCTTATCGTCTCTTTTTATCGGTTGTGATGGAGTACTGTTGCTATGTATGGCGTGTTTTCAGGTAGATAATGGAAAGGCTCGAGCTTCGTTGCGTGTTTATGTTGTTAAATTTTGAGCCTTTTGTTATGTTTCTGTTTGACATTTCGTCGAACACCTTTCCCTTAACCTCCTTATTAGTCTATAATGAAGAGCTGTTGCTGTGAATGGCGTGATTCAGGTTGAGAACGGAAAGGCTCAAGCTGCTAACTTCCCCTTTTGCACGATTGAACCGAATGTCGGTATTGTGGCCGTTCCTGATCAGCGTCTACAAGTGCTCTCTGATCTCAGTAACTCTCAGAAATCCGTCCCCGCATCCATAGAGTTTGTGGACATTGCCGGTCTTGTGAAGGGAGCCAGTCAAGGAGAGGTGACATTCTTTTGCTCAAATTCTTTTGTGCTCTGGTCTGAGTTAAGCTGCTGAATTCTGAGCTCGGACTTTGTCCTCTTATTTTGTAGGGTTTAGGCAACAAGTTCTTGTCTCACATCCGAGAAGTCGATTCAATTCTCCAGGTGTTTGCCTATTCTTGTTCGTATTTCTGCTTTGGTTTCCTTATTGATATCTTAAGAGTCATTCCCTCTCTGGAGTTAAAATATCAAAACTATGCCGCAGTTAGTTTCTGGATTCTGGTTGTGTTCTTACTTGTGGTTTATGTAAGCATAAAAAGAAAATTGTTTCTGTTCCAGGTAGTGCGATGCTTTGAGGACAATGATATTATTCATGTGAATGGCAGAGTGGATCCTAAGTCTGACATTGATGTCATCAATCTCGAACTTATTTTCTCTGACTTGGATCAGGTACACTGAAATCCATGCTTCTCTCATGGTTATTAAAATTTTTGTATGGAGAGTTTAGTTTCTGACTCAAGGATCATGCTAAAATTTTTTGTCAATATCTTGAGTTATATTCACCTGGAAACCCTGCCCTCTTCTATGAACATTTTTCCCACTTTCCTTAAGCTTTTACATGATAGAGTGTTAATTTATGTTTGTTTATTCGATCATGAAGCTTATCTTGGTTATAACGATGTTACCAATCTGTCGCAAATACGTCAAGCTCTAGTTCACTTTGTCTAAGTTGTGCGGATAAACTGATTTGCACCATTTACAAGAAATGCAGATCGGTAAAAGAATTGAGAAACTAAAGAAAGGGAAGGCCAAGGATTCCCAATCCAAAGTGAAGGTAAAACTCGTCTTTTTCATGGAACCTTAGACTTTTCAAGCCTTAGTGAACTAGGAACATGTACATATTGAAATATATGGGCTGTTCACAACTATGGGACATTTTCTGGTTCAGGAGGAAGCAGAAAAATCCGCCTTGGAAAGAATCCAGGAGGCTCTTATGGATGGAAAACCTGCTCGGTCAGTCGCATTGACAGATCTTGAGAAGGATGCCATAAAGCATCTCTGCTTGCTTACAGTGAAGCCAATGATCTATGTGGCAAATGTTGCAGAATCTGATCTAGCTGAGCCTCAGAATAATCCATACGTTAAAGAAGTGAAGGGTCTTGCATCTGAGTTGCAGTCAGGACACGTAATTATTTCAGCACAGGTTGGTGATTATATATGATTACATCCTTTGAGTGAAATGTTCGAGAATTCCTGTCTTTTAGTGTACTTGGAAATGTTCCATTACATCAAACCAGGTTGAATCTGAGTTAACAGAGCTTCCACTTGAAGAAAGGACAGAATATCTGAAGTCCCTTGGTGTCAGTGAAAGTGGTCTTGGAAACCTTATCAGGGCAACATATAGCCTGCTAGGGTTGCGTACATATTTCACTTCTGGTGAAAAGGTAAGAACACATCCCAACACTCTGATCACTAGTATATACTCCTGTTGAAATATATCACCTAAAGATTTTCGTTCAAATGCCAGGAAACAAAAGCTTGGACCATACACGAAGGTTAGTTTCAATAAAAGGGGTGCAGAATTTGCATTATTCTGGAGAATTCAATTGTGATTTTGGTGGAAATTCTGTGTCAACACAGGCATGACTGCACCGCAAGCTGCCGGAGTCATTCACTCGGATTTTGAGAAGGGTTTTATTAGAGCTGAGACTGTAAGCCTTCTCTTTCTTCCTCATAAATCTGTGATACTTCCGCTGTTAATCTTCTCTGACAACTTGCCACTACATATGGACATGAAAACTATAACTTAAATGCTTCACTGTCAAATGATGCAATTTGGATTTAGAGTCATAAAAATTATATTGCGATCCACTGGTATGACGAATTACACCAGGACATCTTTCGGGATGGTGTTTTCAGGTTGCATATGAGGACTTTGTCTCTGCCGGCTCATTTGCTGCAGCAAGAGAAAAGGGTCTTGTGAGTTTCTCCTGCTCTCCATAAAAAAATATCTCACAAATGTCATCGTGACTGACGTTTTCCTCGTACAGTTCAGGTCAGAGGGCAAAGAGTATGTCGTTCAAGAAGGAGATGTGATGCTCTTTCGCTTCAACGTATAGCACCAATCATCTCTGTGCCTGAGATGCATAATTCAAGTAAGATCTCCAAAGCATCACCAAATCGGATTTCTTTGCTTAAAAGTATTACATTCTTTGTTTTCCTTCCGGCATGAAGGAATTCGGGATCAAAGAGTAGATTTGTTAAATTCATGGGGATAGAGAGATGAACAATCCATTTTCTTTTGCAACTTGGCAAAAGGAGCAATTATATACGTTATGTCTTGTCCCTCTCAAAATCTGAAATTCGTATTATCAAATCACAGTTGATGCCTTTGGCTTCTAAGCAAGTGGCAAGATGGGTCCTCGTGACTTGTAACCTAAGAAGCTTTTACCAAATACAAGATCTTCCTTTGGTCCCAAATCAGATCCTCTCTTCTAATTTTTCATTATACCATGTCGTCTTTGGGGAAAAAAAATTCTTTAATAAGTTGCAATAATACAACCGTGGTCCACCTTGTTGGCTAGAATATGTATACATTTGATTTGAATGATATAGATGATAGAATTTTCCTAAAAATAAAAGCAGTGTGGATTGATCTAAATGAGGCGTTATGTTATCATGATCAATAATAATTAGGTCACACGGTGGTACGCTCCAAAAGTCACCGAACCAAAAGTACACACTATGGTTGCTAATGGCATGATGAATTCTCACTAGAAGATCGTGTGATGTTTTGTGGGTCGGTCGGTTTTCTTGTCCTGTTCTCGTGAACTCGGGCGGTATGAAAGGAACACTGTCGGGAAAGTGACGTTTTTACTCGTCAGTAGGAGTTTTATTTAAATATATGGATCGCCCGATTAGCCCAATAATAACAACAATAATCGTTTTTCATTGAAACTGTTAGCTATTGACCCAACAGTCACCTCGGCCTTTGATAGGTACAAATCTTGCAGCATGTTGGAAACATGTCCCATGCAAAGAGAGTGGCACTGTTCATGCAAATTTTCTTACGACCTGTTCAAATCATTAATTAACAATCCCTTTCGAAAGATTCAAACCCCATTATCTTCATAGAGTAGACAGTCGTTTACTGTAATGTTCATTGGTACATCGCTTCTTGATTTTCCTCATCCGAAGCTTTTTCTCTTCGGTTTTAGGTTTCAAGAAGTTGGCCGATGCCGAACCCTAGCTAGTTACATAAGCCCAAAGCCAAGAATACATATATATATATATATATATATATATATATATATATATATATATCTA